TGTACAATCTTGGCTAATTAAACCAAAAGCAATCAATATTATTTCTGCATGGAACACAATAGGTGCATGTACATGTACATACTGTAGCTATCTCTATATGATAAACATCACTAGATGCTAACACTGAGGCAAGCCAATCCCTTATCATGTGATGACGTGACGGTATTAAGAGCGAACCCCTGACATCATTTCCATGACAAGATGTATCATGTTCACTTCACAAATGCCACTTACTTTTATATCGCATTACCAGGCCCGATGCTAGCCCCGTCGCACTAACGGTTTCGGCCACGAAACCCAGAAACTGATCAACGAGGGGGACGCGGGAATGCGTGCCGTCGCTATCCATGATGAGTCCGACAGTAAGACTTGCAGTGTATGTACATGTACATGTAATGACAAACTGGATTAGAGTCACATTCATGGACTCGTTTCGTCGACAGCATGAAGGTTTCCACCGAAGCGTACCATACTAATTGATAATTACTGACAGTGAAATCGATCGTCCACAAACAGAATCAGGCTTCAGTTGGGAGATCTATCCTTGAAGTAATGAATAAATAATTACTTGGTTTTTAATTTGTTTAGTAATTTACGTACATGTAATCTCGTTCAGTGCCATAGGAATTCACCATATTTACACTGAAGCAAATTACTGAAAATCTTTACATGTTTCATAATCTGTTTCGGTTACGGGATAGCTTCGTCAATTAGTGACTACAATGCTTTGAAATCAGGATTTTATTTGGTTGGTTTGTTTGATTTGTATTTCATGGTTTTTACTAATCCTCCACTGCCCAGTTCTGCCAAAAATCAAATAACCGGTTTTGCTGTGATTTGGGATTAGATTCAGCATTGTAAAGTCCTCAGGCTCCGGAAATTCCATACCAGAGTTGAGTTCCAAACTCAGAATCGGAAATACAATCCTATTTTTTAAGGTATCAACTCTCTGACTGCCACTATTATTTGGTGATTCAAGGTCCCTTTTTTGTTTTGTTTTTTAGTGCAGAACAATGTTCACTAGCATTGGATTTTGGAAGATATTCAGGAAGGCTCATAAGTCCAAGGCTCCAGTTTGAATTTTATGTTTGTAGCTAATCAACATATTTGTACACGATACTGTTACCGGTACTTTGTAGTTCCTTATGAAGCATGTTTTTAGCAAGGAATTCCTAGCAATGAGATCAATAACAGAAGGGACCGCTGTGTAATTGTTAGTGATTATCCACTTCACAAGTGCCCAGGTGCACACCCAATCAAAGGAACTGACCATGGAACAGATTCCCACAATAAAAGCTGCTGTATGACTTTAGTGTTTAGTCAAGGCATCAAACTGTGTTCTTTTTTTTTTTGGAAAAAAAAATGTTCATCTAAACCCATTCTCACATTTCAAAAGCTACCTTATGTCCTTCAACCATTCATTATGTGATTTGTGCTACATGTATTTAACTGTATAGTGTGCTACAGTTGCTATAGTATAATGAATTACAATGTGTATTGTACATGTACATGTAGGCTCATGCAATACTACATGTAGCAGGAATCCATACAAACACTACCAAGTACCATCTAGAATCCACCAAAATGACATAAAACCTGATTGGGATTTCATGAGGATTTGGGTTGGTTTACTTGGTTAGAGTTGTATGCACAAAAGTATACATTTATGCATACATCTATACATTGTACATTCACTGTACACCCTACAAAAAGGCATAAACGTAACTGAATTTGAATAAATCCAGTCCAACTAAATTTCTTGGGACATTCTGCCTTGTACAAAAAAAAATGTGACTTTTTTGGGTCCGAAAACAGCACTCACAGTCACATATTATCTGAGAAATAAATCAAAAAAAAAATTGTGATTTTTTTTTGTCCAAAAACAGCACTCAGATATTATCTGAGAAATAAATCAGACTGGCCCATCAAATTACAAATATCAGCATCGATTGGCAGGGAATGGCAGCCATCGGAAGGAAAATAGCACAGCGGTGAGAACTCCAAAGGTCAGATGACTGTTTATTTGTCACAGAGTGGAGAGGGAGTATCAAAAGAAATAAAGGTTCAACTGCGGAGAGTGTAGGTTGAATCAACAATGGAGTTCTAGTGGTAGTTAAAGGTAGACCCCTAATATGATACTTTATACGCAGGCCCACGATTCTTTGTACACATGCGCTTTGGCAACATTTTAATACAGGACCTGTCGGAAGTTTTTGCTGAGACTGTTTTTAGATAATATGCACTCACACAACGATTACTTCTGTACGTGTGTTTTTGGCTAAATTTACAAAATGTACATGATATTTCGGAAGTGTTTGTGCAGCTACTGTTAATTCTGTACTTTTCAAATACAGAATTAATAACTGAAGTTGAATAATTTGTCTTGAGGGAAAGAGTTGAGCATGTTAATCTGATTTTAAAATATTATACATGTACTGTAAATTCTTTGTTTTAAAGTATGGGATTTTTTTTTAGTTTTGATATAAATTTTCACAAGGAAGTTGTCAAATAAAATTTGGTGACGACACTTCTGTAGGCCGCGGAATTTTGGTATCAAATGTGACAAGCTTTACAATAATAAGTTCTTTGCCCCAAGGGTTTTTGTATTGTTGCTGAAATCATTCATCCATAGAGATTTTGGTTACTATGCTTTCCCACTCTCTCTCATGGCATACTAGTATTACCCAAGAAGGAATTCATTTTGTGGTACTACTACGTGCACTTTAACACACAGCTGTAATGACAAAATAATATCCCAGGAATCATGGAGGAAGGAACATTGTCATCCTGCAATGAGGAAAAGGCTAATCTCCAAACAAAATCCAGAAAACAGGGCCAAGTATTTTCCATACCTTTTGAAATATCACTTCCTGCCAATATGAGTACTTCCTTAGTACAGGTTCAGGCTTGTTGCATAGCAACTCTTCTTAAAGTGAACATGTACCGATAGTATGACATTTATACAAATTTGATGGAAAATTAAACCCCAAAATAAGGGCAAAACATGGTAGGCTACTTTGCAGCATGATGGGCTACTTCCATGAAGTCCTGCACATTAGGTAGAGTTATCAGTTCATGTTATTTCACATTTTGATGTGGAAAATACGGCACAAAAAACAATGATACATGCAACATATCCGGTCATTTCTGGAAGAATTTCATGTTGGCTACATTGTTGTAACATGCTGTGCGACTTAAAAGCATTAACCCATGTGACTGTGACTTGTCACAGCTAGAAAAGCGAATACCGCAACTACATTGTAGTAGTTGTGCTAGCAACACAGGGGTGCCTGAAGCCTAAATCAAAACTGCACAAGAACACCTGCTACATATAATTCAATGAACTGGTGAAGAAAAAACAATTTCTTATTGAATAGCAAAAAAGTCTCAAAAATGAAGAAAAAACAGTAAAAAAAAAAATCCCCGCAATGAAGCATACTATTGTAAATCATTTCTGTCTGTTTAACCCTTACCACCCCAACCCTTCTAAATCCAACTCAAGTTTTGTTGGATTCTGTTGGAGTGAGGACTGCACTAGTAAATGCTTTACATGGGGTCAGCATTACCACCATAATCAAGAGTCCAACAGTTTGGGTGTTGAGTTTACCATATGGTGTTGGATTTTGCAAGAGCGAGGAAGGTCCCTAGTAAATCACTCAAGGGGTTAGGACTACTCTAACCCTGCTAAATGCATCTTGTTGCATTTAGCAGGGTAACTGCTCATACTTATAGTCATAGTGCCAATGTAATACAACAAAATCAACTGTTGCATTTGGTTGCATTTAGCAGGGTTACTGCTTGGTGCCAAGGCTGGTATGCACTGGGTTCACTGCACAAAGTAATCAACTGTTGCAATTTGTTGCATTTAGCAGGGTTCTTATTTCAGCCAAGCTGCATGTTGTTGCATTTGGCAGAGTGCCTAGAAAACAACCTGCTGGGGGTAAGGGTTAATGGACAGATTTTGTTTGCATGCATTTTAGACGTGCAAAATATTATTCTATATATATTGTTCTGTCTAAAGCAAGCGATGACAGCCAAAGAAATGAAGCGAAATAAAGCAAAATAAAACAAGTAAAACAAAATATAAAATTAAAACAAATCGAAAAAAAAAACTACCAAATGACAAATGATGATTTTCTATGCTACAATTTAAAAAAAAAAAGCCAGCAAGGTCATTCGAAAGAAAATAATTTGAGACAGTAGGAAAAAAAAACCAATCAAACCTGAAATGTCCAATTTAAAAATAATTATCTAAAAAATGCAGGCACAGATTTCAATGTAGGGGCCTGATCATGGACTCCTGTAATATTTGAGTATTATTGAGGTAAGAGCTGACCTGAATTAATATTTTACATTCGAAAACCAAGACTTGCTAAAAGAAACCTGCTAACCTGGGAACAAATCAAATGGTTGAAAAGTAAGGCAAACATAAAATAAATGCTTTATATTACTAGGCTATCAAAAATATACCTGTGAAAAAGTTAGCTATCATTATTTCAATCTGAATTTACACAAAATACACTAAAAAAGAATAACGAGAATTTATTATACATTTCTGAGCCCCTGCAAAACACAAGAATGAATATTATACTAACTTTATATCACCTTAATCATGTTAATAAAGGCACACTATTTTACTGGCTAGGCTAGCCTAAATGCCCAAGATTAGGGATGTTACTTTGATTATTGTTCAAATGTCAACATTCAATGTCAAACAGTTAGATTTACTTTTCAGTGACAATATGGATGCCTAGCTTGTACAAATATATGTGTCAACTGTAAATTAAGGGTAACTGCTGGTCACTGTTAACTGGTGGAAAACAGAGCAACTCATAATCATATTTGCAATTTTGGACACAACAAAATTGAAACATCTATTTTGACAAGTGGCACGCACTTCACACATCTCCCACAGTTCACACAACCATGCTACAACACTTCTCACTGCTCAGTGCATTGAGCATGACACGCCAAATGTACAGACGACACGAAAAACCAACCACTTATGTCCTGATTCGGCCCCGGTTTTGAAGTTGGTGTGTTCCCCATTTTTGGTCGCTGGAAGACAGGTCCTTCCGCAGAAAATGGTGGGGAAATCCACAGAATACGGTCACCGTTTCGAGGGCAGACAACGTTGCTTATAATTCCATCAAATTTCGGAGTTACAATATCGACCGCACACTTGGGTAACCGCACACTACGCTGCAAAACATCATCAGCCGACAGCTAGATTCCATATCATGCATCACATTATGCACACACTATCGTACATGTACTGTACAGTGTGCATACACGACACATCCAGATTATCCATCCGCGACTAATAGATCCCTTTGCCACCAGAATGAATCATTGATTTCGCACACGGACATAATTTTGACTAAGAAAGACTATTTTAGTGCAAAAATACGAAGAATCGGTACAATTCTATTGTTTTTAACATGAAGTGGGCAGCTACTTTTCATCGGCGAAAGCGGCTAGCACATCAACAACGAAAATCCGCCGGATGTCCATACGGAGTTATGGGGCGGCCGATTTTCTTGCATGCACGGTGCAGTGGTGTGCCGCGCGCGTGGTGTACCCAATCGTATGCACGCACTTTGCAGTTATTCTGACAGAATAAAGTTGAAATTTCGTTTGAAAAATTCAAAAAGTCAAGGAAAGAGGAGGAAAATAGAAATATCAATTTACTCATCCAAATTTCACAGTGACAAAGAGATCCGCGCACAATGGGCAATCTTCCTGTGCGTTACCCAGAAAACCCTCCTTAAAAAAACTAAATCATTTTCCGGGGTGGTGGGAATAATTTTTATAGGTTTTTGTAGTTTTTTTGGCCGTTATCCGCACAATCTTAAATTTATTAATTTGTTGGATTGGATGGATAAAGAAACTATATTATATAGTCTCTTCCGTGGTTCTTCCGACGGCGCTCATGCATTTTCTCCATGAAAAAGTGAAAAGTGCCGGTTTGAGTGGGTCCCCAATCTCCGATCGTGTACAAAACATATGGGAAGTTCCTAAAAAAGTCGAAGTACAAACAAAAGAGGGACAATAGTGGGTTGGTTTGTTTTAAACCAAATCAGTTATATGCAAATAAGCTAAGGGTTACATTTACCATGGAGCTATAAATAGCTTCATGCATTTACCATGCATTTACCATGCATTTACCATATGCAATATAATACGGCGCGGTTTGCTTATGGGTATTATGGGTAAGGTCATGCAAGATATTCCTCCATGATGCGGTTTCAAGTATGGAGTACACAATATCGATTATTGTAAGCCGGTCTCTCGTTAAACAGCGCTATTTTAACGCCTCTCTAATCCCCACCGTTTATACAATAAATGCAGCCAAGGAGTCTATAATTCTATCCCCATGATGCGGCCAAGCGGCACCGACTGTTTGGTGGTCAATGGGATTAACGTGGTCTCGCACTACCGCTTTTAAGCTGAGGCCCATGGAGCTATTTATAGCTTATAATTATGGAGCTATTCATGGTCTTAACCGTGGGTGCCTTCCTCCATAGTCTACCATACCACGGCTGCCTAATTTCGTTCCAAAGTACAGAGCAAAATTTAAAAAAAAAGGCTAGAGGAGCCACATGTTTTATTTAATCCCCAAATTGCAACGTGATCCGACCAACTTCCTCCCCGTGACTATTTTATGAAATTTGGTGAGTTTTGGAAGGTCCGCAAATGGAATGTTTCCAGAGGTTTTGTTGTATTGTGAGAGATATTCTCCATTTTTATCATTAACCGGATTTTTTTTCAGTAGATTTCTTAATTTTCCCCATAAGTTTGTAATATAAATAGAAAAACCCTCCGCAAACATATCCTCCCGTCACGACTTAGGGCGAAGTAAAAAAAAAAAACATGTTTAGCGTCCCCGCCCGCTTCCTTTTTAGAGGCCGCCTCCTTTTTTTTTTTTTTTTTTTTTTAATGTGGTGCAATTGCGCAGAAGAGATGTTCGGTTCTGCATAGTTACATCATTTTGGTCTCATTTTCTGTTGCATCTTGCCCATAAGAAGCCAATATGTCATTTCCTGAGTCCAAGTGGCGGCCATTTTGAAAAAAGCTGGTAACCATCTTGAAAAATAGCCCGGCCGCGTTGTCTTGAAAAATGTGTCGGGCGGCCATTTTGAAAAGAAAAAAAAAAAAAAGGGCCTCCTCCTTCCTTTTTGTCAAAAAGGCAGGACGCTAAACATGTTTTTTTTTTTATTTTGCCTAGTAGCTCTGCAAAAAGCCAAGCTGGAAATGTTTCTCTCTATGTCACGAGAGGGCGGTATGTCAACAAATCGTTCTCGCAACTGGGAAACGCGAACAAAAGTTGCATACTTCACTGTATTTTTGTTGGTGGCGCACGTATCTGACAACCGTTAGGAAACAAAACAGTGGAGATAAAACCCAAATTAATTATCAAACATGAGCTAAAGATAAAAGCCGATCATTTATAAAAAAAAAACATGCAGTGAATATGTTGAGGGCGACAGACATTATAGGGCTATGGACAGTTGAATTTGAGGCTGCTATATTTGTTGGCCATGAACTCGAAGATTTATTAAAATAAAAAATAAACAGAACGGCAGAAGCCGTGTACATTACCGCAAGCTTGTATTTCTGTGTAATTTGGATGGAATTGGGCCCTAAAATGCTTTATTTTGCAATGGAACGTATAGGCATAATTTTTCAAGATGGCGATGGGCTTCACCACTTCTTTTAGGGGGTGATCATCTTTGGGTGGAAATTTCTCCCAAAAGTCATCAGAATACCTCCAAAAATGTATTTAACATAAATTGAAAGATGACGAAATAAGCTTTAATTTGATGTGTGTCTCTAAAACCAATATCTTGGAAAGTTGTGAGTATTTTTTGTGAGTTTTGGAAGTTGGGGTATTTATCACTGGGGTCTATGGCAGTTGTTTTATTCACTATTGGGCTGCACCCCTTCCTCTGTCCTCCCCGCCAGTCTGGTCCCCACCTCACACGCTATGTTCAAGCCTATAACATCTGCAGGCACTGGTCGGAAATTCTTTAGTCAACTGACAAAACAAACGCTGCCCCACACCAGGTTTACACAAAAAATCAGTTTTTCCCAACTGTACATGTCGAGTGTAGTTATTTCAATGCGACGATAAAAGCCCAACCACAAACACTGATAAGCTTCATTGTGTACACTGGGCGGCACCGTCACTGCGCCTTGCATAATAAATTAATAATTATGTATGCAGCCATGCAGCTATTTTTAGATTACAAAAATACATGGGGCTATATTTAGAAACAGTTATATGCAAATGCCCAATGTAATAAGCGAGCGATGACTCTGGTGGTTTCTTTTTTTCCTTTTCCATTTCCATAGCAATACGTGAATTACATGACATAATATAATATAATATACAATGTACAATTATTATAAAATTGCGTAAAATTATAGTTGAAATTTCAAAAGGCATCTGGATTTAAATAACAAAGTACAACTATTGTAAAGGAATACATTAAAACATTGTATATGACCGTGCTATGATTCAGACAGCGCAAACATAAAATCGGTAATCAAACACATGCTAGTGTTTGTCTCATATCATCACAATTTAAGGTGTGATGGAAATATAGACTGAGAAAATTAATCGATAGGTCCTATTGTGCATAGATGAAAACAACAATTTTATTTACACGACATATTATTTCGAAAAGCAATGCAACCAACTGCAACCAAATGTTTTACAAGACTAACACTTCAATCATTTTGATTGTATTTTCTGCGCGACTAAATTTATAACAACTGTCAAGAAGTAGTTTTAATATCATTCTATAAATTACAAAACAAACAAATATTGTTGCATTTTCTATGACTCATGTTCACCCTAGCGAGAACGAAAAATACTGCAACTGACGGGGGTGACGTGCGGTAATGTCATGGTAATTTCTCGGAACGGCCAGGGACAGTGTTTTCTGTTAGCTCGTTCCAGTCAATGACGTAATCATCTGTCGACCTCGTACTAGACGAGGCTTCATCTCAGCGATGGAAGCAACAGGTATCCAAGGGATACAAAGGTTCATGGCGTTGATGCGGTAGTCATGGTAACGCAGGAGAGGAAAATTACGCACCGAGCAGTGATAATAGAAGGATCGGTGATATATAATGGCGGTGGGATCGCGGCACGAACGAAAATTATGAAGGTTACAAAAATGGTTACGGGAAAGACTCAATAGTGTGCTAATGACTATATGAGTCGGTTTTAATTTGTAGATGCGTTATTCTTGTTGTGAGTTTAACAGCATGTGTCTCGCTTCATTTCCCTAAAACCCTGATGTCCATGATTGAACAGAAAAGTGATTGATCACTACAAAAAAGAACTATATTCTTTGAATATATGGCTTTCAAAATATTAACAGATCCCTTTTCAAGATCATAGAAGTTACGATAAATTCTGAGCCACTTTAAATTAATGACAAGGTCAACTTGGATTTTAAAACTAAGGGCGCCCTCCTTTTCTATAGTTGTTTATCATATCTTTCTTTTAAAAATCCAGAACCCAAACTTAAACTGCATTCGGTTGCATGTAATAATCGTATTTATACAACACCTGAATAAATCCCCGTCATCTGATTGGTGAATTGTAGATCACGTGACATAATATTATTCGGTATAATGCACGGTGCGACCATGCGTTATACCCATGCGTTATACCGTTTCACTTTGCGCTTGTTCCATGACGCGGTATTTGCGTGCAAAATGCATGCTGGTGTGCGCGTTCAGCGTAGCGCGTATTGTTCCAAAGAACCAGCGCTACAGCGTTGGGTTCAAACATTTTCGTGAAGGGGTAGTTCAACATCTTTAAAATCAAAATAAATTGTAGTTTATAATTTACCAATCAAATGACGAGAATTAATTCAGGTGTTGTATAAAACAAATAACGAATGTTTTACGTTCGTGCAATGGAAAGAATAATTTCATTCGGTGACAGATTGAATGTTCTATTCCACTTGGCTTCGCCTCGTGGAATAGAACATTCAATCTGTCACCTCATGAAATTATTCTTACCATCGCACTCACAAACATTCGTTATTTGTATAATAGCGTATTATGCCCCGTGCGTATCCGTTATTGTTCATACACGGCACGCGCACGCGCACGCCTGCTCTATCTACGGCAATGACTTTTTTCGGAGAGCTGGCTATTATTGTAAAGGGCGCCCTCATGCACATGTGTAGGTATATCGGTATTGTAGGTATAGGTGAGCATGTACACAC